TGGAGTATCAAGCATGAAACCAATGACAATGTTTTTCTAAAGAAATGTTGGTTTCTCTGGAAAATCAAAAAAGGAGAATCAAGGATCTTTCAGTTTTTATCAGTTTATCAAAGTTTGTAAATTGAACAAAGATATAGATAAATGTAAGGAAAATAATAAATATACGAGCACAATACTAGGCGTTGCCTGTTTTGTTTTCAATTCTTGTTAAAAAGAATACGTCGCCATGTCTGTCTCTCTTTCTCTGCGTATCTATCGCTGTCCGCTTCTGTCTCTCTGCCTGTATGCATTTGTCTGTCTCTTTGTCCATCAGTCTCTCTCTCTTACGTTCTTCGCTGTCTTCCGTGTCTCTCTCTCCGTTTCTCTCTGAGGCTGTCTCAGTCTGCCTGACTCTGCCTCTCTGTCTGGAACCACTCCCTAAACTTTCAAATTAATCCTCAACTCACAAGAGGTGGTATGGAGGTTTCACAGTCAGTGTAAGGCTCTTAGCTATTTATACTTTTCTCTTACTGTGATGGAGAAATTTAAGAAAACTTTTCCAAACGAAAATTGTGCGAATGCCAAATGATGTAATATTAAACAACAGGATGCAATGTTTTGAAACATTGACAATAAGTTTATTTTTTGGTGCGTATGTGTTTTTTTTACTAGTGAAGAGGAAAATCTTGCAAGGACGCTGCGAGGCACGCAGCACGTGGAATTCACAGCTAGCCTATGCCTACCCACTAAAAAGGCCTCCCATTCTCTTCCCGCGGAACCGCCAGTAAGCATCACGGGAAGGGCAGATCGGCTTACCGCTCTATGCCAACTGAATCTCGGGATACTCCGTCGCCGCTCCTCTAACGGAAGCTTCTTCAAAATGTTTGCGGCGTAGGTGGCTACCGCACTCCAATTCTCTTGGGACACCAGCAGCCTAGTGACGATGTATCAGGAGTCACTACTTGCCGGAGGAATCGGTGGAGTTCTTCCCTCTCCTCAACGAACAATGAAAGAACGCGTGCTCCACATCTTCCAATCAATGGGTTACAGGTTGGCATGAGAAGTCATCGTCCAACCGGAAACGGAGTTGGTATGCACGGTAACACTCATGCCCCGTTAACAACTGGATCAAATAATAACCCACATCACCGCGTTTCCTTTGGGACCACTTCATTACGGAAGGAATAAGACGGAATGGTCATGTTCCAGTGGCTGATAGAACCTATTGCCGTAGCTATTGGGCCATTGTCACTCCCTCTCTTCCTTCATATTGATGTTTCTATTTGTAGCTCCCTCTCGCTTGTCTGTAGAGCCTGGCCCTTTCTTGTCATAAGGTCTACAGGGGGCACGTCGGCTATCATGCATACAGCATCCGTCATACCAAACATCTGGGCAACCCACAAGGCGGACCTTCTATACACTGACTTCGCACTGCGGGTGTATGACTGAATCCCAAAGGTCTCGACCAAAATGGGAGCTGCGCAGAGCAGCCCATACTTAATACTTCTAGACAGTAGCCTCCGGCTACCTTGCGTTGCTACCCCTTACGTTAGGCATAATTCGTGCCAGGGGCGATGCCATGCGAGAAGTGTTCCCGCAAATAACACGCAAGTGCTCGTCGAAGCGAAGAGACTGCTGGGGGGCCTATTTCACAACCCCTTACATTGAGAGTAATACCCCCTCTCACTTTCCTGCCTGTCCCCAAAACATCTGGAGCCCCACCGACGTTAGCCACTGCCGGAGCACAGCGACAGACTCGTTGGTAACCCGCGTGACTTCTTCAGTATATTTGCTGACCACTACCACCACATCGACAGCAAATCCAATAGCTCTAGAGGCTTCCGACAACTTCAAAACAGAGTCATCCGTAATATTCCACAACAGATGGCTAGGTACCGAGCCTTGCGAAACACCATATGTCTTTACTCTGGTCTCTGTTTCGTATAGCAAAATCCTTTCCTCGGTAGCTTCAATGCTCATTATGTAATTCGGAACTCTCAGTTTTTTCCGCGAAACAAGAATGGAACTCCACATTGCTACATTAAATGCGTTTGTGACGTCGTGAGTAAACATGATACTACTTTTTACCTCATCTCAATCATTTGTTCTCAATAGATCTCTGTGCAATGTCGATGACGACCCTTCTTGCATCCATTGTAGATCTCGCTTTCCTGAAGCCATACTGATTATCGTACAGACCCTCCATCTAGGGTTCAATCTGATTGCAGATGATCCGCTCTAAGACCTTGCCTGCTGTATCCAGTAAACATTATGCTGACGTGTTACTGGTGGCTTATCGCCCTTCGGAAAGAGGACTAGCCGTTGTTGCCTCCAACGACGGGGGATATTTCCCTCTCGCACGCGTTATATGCCACTAAGAATAGATCTGGCCAAGTCCTAATAGCAGTGCCGTGTTAACGCACGGGCCCGCGCCCAGGCCCCCAGTAGTTCTTTAAAACAATTTAATAATATTTCTTTCAAAAAATAAAATTAAAAAAGTATTTAAAGAGATGTATGATTAAACTATGTGCAAAAAATTGACATAACGGAGTGATGTGTCGCGTATCATTGGATAATGTTTATAATATGGAACTATGAGCAGAAACTAGATTCCAAATAATTCAACTCTTACAAAAAACCTCACTTTTAAACCAAAAAAAATCCCCATTTAATTAAAGTAATTAATATTCACAAAAAACTGTCAAAGTAGGTCGGTTGGAGAAAAAAACTACTCACAAAGAAAAAATATTTCATAGACTATTTGCGTGCGATCTGTTGAATACTCAATGAACCTAATGGTAAATAAACCGTTTGCAAATATGCCACAATGTACACAAAAACTTATAATTTAGAAATATAACCGCAAATCACTTCCAAAAACGGTGAATCGAAGGGTTAACCAAGGCCGAAGGGCCCCCAATACTGCTAAAACGGCCCCGGCCTAATAGCGGCCTTAATATCAACGATACGGCACCCCATCCAAGCTGGAGGTTTTGCAATCTTGAACCTTATCGCCTTGATACTTCGTCTAATGAAACAGCCGGAACCTCCCCTAGATCATCAAGCGGATCCATCGTGTCATATTATTTCAGTAGTAAAATACCTATTGCGGTTCTCACACGCAACTGATCTTTGCAAATGAGGTCTCCAAAGAAAGCGAATTTCACGGAGACGTGACGAATTGCACGTTGACTTTAAAAATATGACGGCTTCGTATCCAAATATACACGTCAAATGCAACCCGCAGCACTCGGCTAAATCGTTAAATTACTTCTAAACAAAGTGTTCTAGGACTTTAAAAACTAAATTATTGACACCGAAAGCCTCAAACAAACGTTTTTCATACATACCGCAATATACAGAATGAGCTATTCTTGAACATTCTGTTAAATTTTTGCTTTTTCGACACTTCGATACTACCAATGCCACATATATATATCAACCCTTGAAGATGGTGGCCATCTTTGTGACGACACGCTTAGAAGGCTGGGATTCCCCTATCAAACGATTTACGATGTGTACACCGTGGTTTGCGCAGACTGACGAGATATATATTTTTTAAATATATATTTACATTTGAAACTTTGTATCTACTTCAGAATAAATTTGCACCAAAAATCCGTACTTTAATGTAGCCTCATCCTCATAGGTAGTTCAGTGTGACACTTGTTCCCTGTAGACATGCATTTTGGTGCATTTTTAGTCCCCCAAGAGTTCCTGGATTATTAAATGTGCTACAACATTCTTCAAAAAGCCTAAATTGTAAACATAACACTTGATTGTAACTAATGAGCAAAAAAATATCTCATTACACACATATCCTGGCTCTGCCAATTAGTTCACTTCATCAAAATCAATAGGAAAGTCTCATACATAGTAAAATATTTTTGACAAATAATTTGCAATAAAAAATTAAAAAAGCATTTTAATAGTGTGCCAAAGAATGAGAAATATGCTGATTGGTCCCAGTAATGCTGTTAATTACACACTTATTTAAAAAGTTGTAAGGAATCTTATATTCCGTTAATTATAAGACACAAGAATGCAAATTGTAATCATTTTTTAAGTTATATTAATGTGGGGTAGAGATGAATTACTTTCTTTTACCAAATACTTAATATTCTACATTGCATCCTACTTTTTATTTATTTAAAAACCAAGGTAGAATTGCAAGTCTTACTATAAACAAGATAGACATTTCTGTTTAATTTAACACAAGAATTGTGAAGTTATCAATGTCACACCTGGGCAATTGAACAGTAATGTCATGACCACTGAAAATCAGGAGACATCACAACTGCACAGAACGGGAGGCAGTTAAAATCTCTTTAGGTTAGAGGAAGCTACCTTTAGGTTTCCTCAGTATGTCAGAACAAGGTATTCTGTAATATTTATTACATTAGGTGACTTGAGATGTCTCCAACGCCCTCGAATGACAATTTTTTAAAAATATGGTTATCCCTTTGTTGAGGTGGAAATAGTCTCTCATAATCAGGAAATTATATTTTCCTCTAATGGGAATCCAATATACTTTCTTTCACAATCTCATTTTTACCCATCTGGTCCATCTGAGGGCAAATAAGTTCTGTAATATATCCAGAGACGCAGTGTCTACCACTCTGATACATTACGCGTGTACACAGTTTCTATTCTTTCTGCTTTGCACAGCTGTTTTAAGAACTTTAATCTTTATGACTACAACCTCTATTCTTAAAGAAAAGATTTTCTTTCCATAAATTTGTTTAAATGTATTTTGTGTTCCTACCGCTGTAAAAAACACTAATAAAATAAATAGCAATTGCACAGCATCAGTTAACAATACCAGATGTGCAACCAACTACAGGTTAATAAACAAATGAATAAATATTCTTTCAATTGCATCCATCCAACGGTTGTTTCTAGCCAATAGAACCTTTAGCTTTCTCCAAAAACTACTAGCATGCATACTTTATAATGAATCATGATACTCGTGATACAATATTATTTTCATTACTACTTATTGATCAAAATTGGTGAAATATCATACGCAGATGATTTAAAAATGGATAAAAGCCACAAAACAGCAGACAAAAACCTTTTAGTTCGTAGTGTACAGCAGTAAAAAAAGCTTCAAGTTTGACAGACACTGCTTGCTTACATTATATTTTATAATAAATAAGAAAATGTACACAACAAAGTTGAGTAAAGTAGCATCAAACTTTAATTCATATACAAACATTAAAATTAAGGCACAACAAAATCAATACATAACTATGACAAATTGCATTAAAAAATTCATATTTATTATGATATTCCTTGTAATATGCAGTCTATTTTCTCATATCTCCTGATTTCCTTGAAAGAACTACAAAATCCTCCAAAATTAAAATTGTTCTAACAAGAATAATAATAATTCGGACACAGAATGTATTGAAGGTATTCACCAAACTGGAATTGCTTATTTCACACAACTTCAGTTTACTCTAAATTAATACTGCAATTTAGTTGGAGAGATAGATATACGAGTAGTGAAATAAGCTGCATATACATATACACTTACATTGATCATGTAAGGAGAAGAGATAATATATTTTCCCCAAGTCATTCCAAAATTTTTTCTCTCTGCCGATGCAAATTTCTCTGGTTATCAATGCAGTCTTTGTTACGTGTCCCATATGATATGTACCTCTCTTTCCTGCAAAATCATTATCTCTGAAGTATGAAAGAAACTTCAGTCTTCAACAGGTTCTCTTAACCCTTCACTGTGCTGGGGTCTCCCAGCAAACTCTAACATGGCTTTCGTTTCCCAATTTTTGGGATCGTCTAGAACACTTCTTTGCTCCTGCAATAAAATACAATACAAAAATAACATTACCTACATGTAGTAAATTTTATCCTCTTTAAAACAAATGATTACTTATATAATAATCATGAAAACTATATAATAAACAACTTTAGTTTGACAATATTCATTAATTTATTGAATCAGTTATACAGTGCACCAGGGAAGTGTTTCCACACCAAACGGAATCAGCAACCCTATTAAAAATTGTATTTATGTTCATAGCAACCAGATCACTGGGAAACAAGTGAAGAGGATATCCTTTCCAGCATCTATTATGATTGTGGTGAGTAAGCAACTTTCATTTTCTTTTGTTACAAGATACAGCTCAAATTACCGACATAATTTCTGTTGCAAGCACTCTCACTAGCAATGTACCACTGCACAGAGACTTTCCTGGTGTGCTATGTATACAATACACACAATGAATATGCCATAACAATATGTCACTGAGGGTAGGCCTGTGCACAAACATGTTAATAAATAATTATCCTAATTATCACTAGAGCCCAGAAAAATAGGTAGTATACAATGGCAAAATATGTAAGGAATGTGTAAAGAAAGATATAATAACATAACATTTTCACAGATTGAAATTACACTAATAAATCATTTATTAAATCAATTTTAAAAATAAATATTGCCTGGTCTACTGCATTGAAAGTTTTTAATAGTACACCTTTAAATTTTTAGAGCAATAATAGCCATCTCAGAAACTTGGAAACTGCATGACCAGCAAACAATCCCTGTAGCATTGTTTTTGAGGCACTAAATGTCTGCAGAGAAATTTGGATTGAAGATAAAACGTCACTGATATTTTTCATATCTAAAGGAAATATTCTTTTAGTGCTCAACACTTTTCGCTCATCACTTTTAGTGCTCAACACTCTTATATATATATATACACACACACACATGTGGATGAGATGCTTCATAAATAGAAATCAACAACTTCATATCAGTAGCTTCTTTTTGACATTTTTCTAATCACAGCATCACCATCACAAAGTATTATAAGTAAATTTAATTTTGTTCTTCAATTATTTTTCATTCTATTGATACAAAAATGATATATGTTTTCCAATTTTTTTAAATTGTTTTTCAAATGTGATTGTATATCTTTATCAATCTATCATCTATCTAAATAGACAGATATAGATATAGAAATAGATATATATCTCTCTCAAACATTATCAATTGTATCATACATATTACAATCATTTATCAATTACGATGTATATCATAATTAAGGGATAGATTTTGATGACCCAAAACACTGCCAAAAATGATCAATAAAATGCTCTTAGAAGGTTTTAAAAACACCCTAAGAACAAGAAAAATAAGGTAAAAAAAATTTATCAAAACCACTTCAAATAAACAACTCAAGCTGGTGGGTACATTACTAATGTAATCGAGGAATGCAAACTTTTGGTTTGGACTGTTCTTTAAGGGAAAATCTTCCTTTATTTATTGCGAAATCAGCCAGACTGACAAAGGCGCTGATAGGCGTCACAAGAACTTTACATAGAATTACATAGTACTCACAACAGCTGACATTACAATATATGAACAAAGAAATCGAATAGGCTACTCAGGAATTCTATGAAGAACATTTGTTGAACCTCGTAAATATTATTTGAAGCAAGAACCATTAAAATAATATTAAAATCAGTGAAATCGGCAAAAAATGCATTAAAAAAGATGTACAAAGGTTAAAA